AGTGGCTCTGCAATGATGTCGGCCAGTGCCTTCAGCACCCTCGGATGGAGCTCATCTGGGCCTGCTGACTTAAAGGCATCCAGTTCTTCCAAGAGACTCTGCACCATCTCAGGGTCTACGCATGGTAGTCTGGCGCCTTGCTGCTGCCTCTCTACAACCCCAGTGAGAGACTTGTCCTGCCCCTCACTTAGGAACACTGAGGCAAAGAACTCGTTGAGGAGTTCAGCCTTGTCCCCTCTGTCCGTCACCAATTGCTTCTGCCCATTTAGCAGAAGTACTGAACTAATTTCTTTCAGGGAAAGCAGATTGTTCCTCACCTGGAGTATTTTGTCCAGTTTTGGGCCCCACACTTCAAGAAAGATGTGGACAGTTTAGAAAGAGTCCAATGCAGGGCAACAAAAATGATTAGGGGTCTGGGAGGCAAGACTTATGAGGAAAGACTGAAAGAACTAGGATTATTTACCCTGGAGAAGAGAAAACTGAAGTGGGATTTGATAAATCTTCAAATACCTGAAGGGGGATTATAGAGACGATGGGTATGGGTTTTTCTCTGTGGTCACAGGGAATAGGACTAGGAAAAATGGCCTCAAGCTGCAGCAGAGGAAATTTAGGGTGGGGATTAGGAAGAATTTTCTGACTATGAGAGTAGCACTAGAGCAGGCTACCTTGAGAAGTTATGCTTGGAAACTTTCAAAAGCAGATTAGACAGACACTTGGCTGGGATGTTTTACTCAGGGATAATTCTGCCTTGAGCAGGGGGCGGGACTAAATTACTTCATAAGGTCCCTTCCAGCCCTACTTTCCCGCAATCCTATAGCTTCAAAATCCTTTCCTCTATCCATCAGTCATGTCAGCCTTGCTCAGGTTTAGCTTCAGCAAGCTGTTTTTCACCTGAGAGTCTTGTCCAAGCAGTGTGCCTTATTGATGCTAGTAATATTCATGTGGTAAAGGACAGGTAAAACCACATCACCTGAATAGTATGTACTTGAGTTCAAGTTGTTGGACCAATTCACCTGGTGGCATCATATTGATACTGAAAGGGATTGGAAACAAAAATGATCCTCGGACTCCACAAGTGAAGTCTAGTAGAAGTGCAGTTTCCTATTACCATGAACCATTTTAGTGCAGGGGTTGCCTACCTCCAGTCCCCAGGCTGAATCCACTCCACAAAGAGGCTGGATTTGGTTTGAGATCTGACTCAGCCTGCAATGGTATGCAGGATTAGGCAGCATGCAGCTGCAGCAAGCCACCAATCTCCTCTACAGCACCCTCCTCAGCAATCCTCCCTGATGTTCTCTTGTGTTCCCACTTAATCTTATTGAAGTAAGGCCAGATATCTTCTGAGAGGGAAGTGCAGGCAGCTTTAGTTGGGGGTCAGAGGCTTGCTGTCTATGGTAGGGAGTTAAATCACATTCTCCAGTCTGGAGATCTGCTGACCTGCTTTAGCACATTACTCTGGACTTAACTCTCATAGGTAAGATGACTCTCTCATCATTTATGATGTTGAATGATGCAGGGAAGTTCACGAGTATCAGGGTGGATGTGACAAGAGATCAATTTTTAGTACCAGTAAAGCAGTCTCAGTTCTGTGTCTTCGCCTGAATACAAATTCTTCTGGCTTGGGATATATGTTTCAATTACAGGAGCCAGAGTGTTTTTTTGGCTAGCTTCTTGAACTTGCTCATGAAGGTTTGACAATATATGAGCTAGCTATAGGGGGCCTCAGGGCTGGTGAGACTACTGCATGTATTTGTCAGCAGTCCCTCAATTTGAGGATAATCTTTATTATGGCTCATTGATCAAGACCATTGGCTTCTGGTCTTGAGGTGACTTAATAGTCCAATCCTTGAGCCACAGACCCACTGCATGTATTTAAAAAAAGGGCAAATTCCCTCTCAGAATAAGATAACACCTATTTCATGCAGGAATGGTACCTGCTGCTGCTTTCTCTTTCACAAGATAGGAGATGTGGGCCAGATTTAGTAACCCTGGGTTTAGTGTCCAAAACTCATTGATGAGCATTGAATTCTAGGAATTGGATTGTTGGTTGATGGGTTTAGGTACAGTGAGTCCTTGCTTTTGAAGCTACTTGAATGTGCGTGATCCTTTCAGCAAAGTAGGATGGTAGTTTTCTGCAGTACTTGACCATTAAGCACCGGGAAGCTGGCAGGAAGGACCAGCTTTGACTTAGAGAAATGTATTCCTCCTGTCTACAGTAGCATCCACCTCAGAAAAATCAAAAATCACAACATGGACTCCAACTCTTGAGACTGGCAACCAAATAACTAAATATTTTAAAAGTCAACTAATGTTTTGTTTTACTTTTTAATTTTCTTCTAACTTTTTTGGGGGTGTATATGGTAACATAAGGTTGAAATATAAACCTTTAATCAATACACAAATATACATCTCTTCCTGACTGCTCAAATGAAGATCACCACTACAATAGGGGAATGAGTCATCCATTTTCTACTACTAGCTGGAGAAACAGCCAAGATGCTTTTGACTTCCCATATTCTCTTCCCTGATCTTCCTCCCAAATGTGTCTTGCCCCATATTCTCTTGACTTCCCCTACTGTCACCATCTACATAAACCAAACATTAAGAATGGTGACACTGGTTTAGAAAACACAGTATTTATTTCCATGCACATCTAAAAATAGCACAGCTAACTCATTTTTGAAGTCTTATACTATAACTTGAATAATCTTTTAACTAAGAGAGCTTATTAGGGAAATACCTTCTTTAGGGGATTTCTCCCAGAAGCTTGTTGGCCTGTTCAAGATGAATCATAATCAATACACTCTAAATCAGTGATTCTTAACTGGTGTTCCATGGCACCCTAGGGTGCCTTGAGATGCTTTCAAGGGAGCCATGCAATGTTAGCACTGTTGGGGGTGCAAACATGATTCACAAGATAAACCCAGAGCTCTCAAATAAAAATCTACAGTGTTAACAGCTTTGACCTACTGTGGTCTTTCTAAGTTCTTTGCAACAGAAAAATTGCTCTATTATTTTTCTGTAGTCAAAAAAATTGAGTGAAAGGTAAGAACTGTCATTCTCCTAGGGGTGTCTTGAGCTGAACAATGGGTTCAAGCCAAACAGGGGGTGCCTAGAGTATAAAAAGATAGAGAACCACTGCTCTTAAGGGTAATCCCAGCACTGCTGGAAATGCTTTAAAGTGGAAGGCAAGCAAATGTAGCTGCTGAATCCAGGACCCTACAGTTTTACTTTGGCTCCCATTCCTCTCTCACCTCCAGCTTAGAGGTTTCTCTTCTGCACAGATCTCAGCAACTTTCTCTGATTTCCCTTGCTCTTGACCCATTGCCAAGGGGCTTCTGCCATGGAGGGAGACACGCATCATACACAGAAAAGAGGGCACAGCAGGCCCCCCACATCACCCAATTTTGTCCCCCATATGCTACTTTTATGGCTTAGCACCTGGGGGACTTCAGAGGGATGGGTGATGCACATCACCCCAGCGGAGTATGACTGCCTAAGAGAAAAGCAGCAGCAGCAAACTGACATTGAGGGCAGCCAGGGACAAACCACTGAGCCAGAAGAAATTAAAAGACCTGAGGTTATAGGCCAAGATGAGGTCCAGAGCTTGCAATAGGCACAGGGAGTTTTAACCGGGAGACATTTATCAGGCACATGGCACCTTGCATTCACAGGCACTGGCTTTGAGCTCTCTGGGTCTGACCCTAAATCCTCTTCCCACTCCCATTTCCCCATTTTCCAGAGCTCGCCTTCCAGTCCAAGAAGAGTGGCAGTGTCATGAGTTCCACAGGTGATGCACATCCCCACAGTGTTATGGCTGGGTAGCGCTGTTGAAGGATCTTACACAGAAATCTAAGAAATAAACAAAATTTGATTTTACTTCACAGTTACTAGGCGCAAGTCAGGGATAAAGACACTGAGCCCCCCACCCACTGCCTCTTCCACAGAGGCAAGCGAGGGCTTTATGCCAGAACCCTGCCACCACCACTGGCATCTGACAAGGCAAGTCTCTGGGGCTTTCACCCTATTACAGACCCCTCCAGAGAGGGGTCCAGGCATATTTGCCAGCCTGCTTGAGTGCCCTCAGAGTCCTCTGAGCACTCTAGGTTCTCTAGTCTGTAGCCAGGATCTGCCAGGGTCAGAATAACAGCCCCACATTCAAGGATGCCATATGATCTCTTTATTGCCCCATGTTGCTGGCAACGGGATACCCAGGTTGCTGGCTTTGAGCAGGACATCATGTGTTTCATTCCTTAGAATGACAACATAGGGAAGGACTAGGGAGTGGTTACAGATGAAGAGGTGGCAGCTCTGCAACAGGAGATTGTGGCCATGGAGAATGCTTTGTTGGAGATGCTAGATATTAGGGCCGTGCAAAATTTTGACAGCCGTTTTGTTTTGGAGGTGTTTCAGGCTGTTTTGGCACCCGAAACACCGAATCCAAATTGAAATGCAAGGCTCCGAAACTAATCAGAAGGCTCTGAAACATTTTGGAGAATTTCAGAGTTTCGGAGCCAGGTTTGCAGGGAAACAAAAACTAAGAAGAGGGAGGGGAAAGGGGTGAGGGGAAGGACTGCTCTGATATTGACATCTAGCTCCTAGTTCAATTCTCCAGCTCTCTGATCACTTCCCTCAGCTCCCTGATCATTTCCCCAGCTATTCCTGGGGGGCGTTGGCCCCCAATCTGCACGTGGCGCTTCAGCAGGCTGCTGTTGCAGGCTGGGGCCAGCAGCAGCTTCTTGGCGCAGCCTGTGCTGAGCGCCAGGAAGACGGCAGTGCCGCCCAGGGACGACGGCAGTGCTGCCACTGGCTCCAGCCTGCAGCGGCAGACTACTCAAACCTGATGTGTAGATCTGGGGGCCCGCGCCCCCTGGAAAGAGCTGGGGGAATGAGCTACTGCACAACCTGTCTCCACAAGGAGCAGAGATCTGCGCCGGGCTCTCCTCCCCACTGCTGCCCACCCCATGCAGCCCTGGATCTGTTCCCTGTGGAGCCAGGTTGCGTGGCAGGGACTAGTAGCCTTGCTGACCACTCTGTGCTACTTCCCTGCCTCGCAACCTGGCGTGACAGGGATTAGAGATCCATGCAGGGATCTCCTCGCCTGCACAGAGGGCAGCGGCCCTCCCCTTCCCCTGGACAAACCACCCATGGCCCTGTCCCGCTTCTTGCTGGGGCCCCTACCCCCAGCCCCAAGCCCCGCCCAGCTGGGTAGGACTGTGTGAAGCTTGCAGCCTGTTTGAAAAAGATTCAGCCAAAATGAAACGGGACAGTAATCTGAGAGACCGAAATGAATCACTGGCCTCCAAAAGGGCCAAATCCAAAACCGAATCGAAACACAGCTGTTTCGCACAGCTCTACTAGATACCATGTGTACAGGCCCAGTAGCAGACACTAGTATAGGATACTACTGAGATATCTGTCTTGCTCCACAACATATCGAGTGCAGTAGTTCAACAGGCATCTATGCACATACCACTGACTCCCAGTGCAACTAGACCATCTCTTGCTGGGGGAGGGATCCTTGGGGAGCCACAAATGCTAGCTGCAAGACAGGTGCTCTTCTCACCTCTAGGATGTACTTACCACCTACCAATCCGAACTAGCAACAGACTCAAGAGTTTCTGGCTCAGTAGACTCATGAGTCTCTGGCTCAGTAGCTCACAGGTGCAAGTAGGATAGAAGGGCCAGGAATGATCCCCCACACTCCCCTACCAAGATGTGAAAAAGGAGGCGAGGGGTCTCCCTTCTGGACTCTCCACCCCTGAGGACTACCAAGGAGCGGAGGACAATGTTCATTCTCTGAGCAGGTACCTTGACTTTGTGCAGATCCTTGTGGGATCCTGGCTGCCCGGGACCCTCCCTTTATGTAGGTACAATAAACTGACTCTGGGGTGCTTCTTTGCAAACCAGGCCGTAGGTACCCTCTCCCTCAACACTGCAGGTGTTATTGAAACCAGCCTTGATGGGAGATTCCAGATGTTTCCCACCCTGCATACCTGGTGTGAAAGGTGTTTGGCCAGACATCACTAGTGTGCTGTGCCAAGGGCTACCCGAACATCTCCTGGATCAGCCTAGCCCGCACTGTCCTTCCACGCTGTTTCTCCACACGGTGTCTGAGAGCCCTTCTCCGGCACGCTTGCCTGACTTGTCTGAGGGGTGTGGTGCCTTCTGTCTCCTCATCAGTCTCTTCTAATTCCTCCAGGCTTGTGTACCCAGAGGTCCCCAGTTCACGGCTGCTGTCCTCTGCTGCCTCCTCCAGGTCTGTTTCATTCCCCTCATCCACATCCAACCCCTCTGGCAGAGGAATCCCACGTCGTATGGCTATGTTATGCAAAACACAACATGCCACGAAAATCCTATTGACCTTCTCAGGGCTGTACTGTAATGTGCCACCAGATGCATGGAGACACTGCCAGCGCATTTTGAGCAGGCTTACAGCTCTCTCCACAACTGACCTGGTGCGCTTATGGGCATGGTTGTATTGCAGCTCAGCATCACCCTCGGGATGCGCCAGTGGAGTGAGGAGCCATGGCTGGAGGGGGTAGCTGTGATCACCTATGCAAAGACAACAGAGTGATAACAACTAAGACTGGGACCTGGGCTGTCCCCAAAAAGGCAGAGTTTCTCATGCAAGCCATTCTACCAAATGCTCTAGCAGGTGAGAAAGGTTGGTTGCGGGGCCAAGATGGGCACAGCGGGGGATAGAGAGATGGAACTCCTTACCTAGCAGCCACCCAGGTGTGAACTCTCCGCGGCGGAATCGCCTGAGGAGAGCTGACTGGGACCACACGGAGGAATCATGGCTGGAGCCAGGGAACCTGGCCAGGACATCGGTGAATTCAAGGCGGGCGCTGCTGACCACCATCATATTCATGGCATACGTGCGGTGCCTGTTCACAAACGTGTGGGAGTCTTGCGCAGGTTTCTTGATGTTCACATATGTGCCATCCACAGCACCCAGGACTTGGGGGATGTTTGCGATCTCAAGAAAGTCCCGCATGGTTTGTCCTTGGGTGCTGGGGTCCGTGGGGAAGGTGATGTAATCTGGGGTATGTGGGATAAGGGCCTCCAGGAACTGGCCGAGAACCCTAGAGGCTGTGGACTGGCCAACACCTGTGGTCTGGGCAGCAAACCTCTGGAAAGAGCCTGAGGCCAGAATGGCAAGGGCAGTACTGACCTTGTCTGGGACTGAGAGTGCAAAGTTGGTATTCTGAGATGCTCCCAGGCTACCCCGCAGCAGATCACACAAATGATACATAGCATCTGCTGTGAGTCGGTACCGCTGGATGCAGACCCGGTCACTGAGCCCCTCAAAGGTCTGGTGTGGTTGGTATACTCGAGCCTGGGCCTGTTGCCGGGCCCGGGCTCGGGCACGAGGCTGGGGCCGGGCTGGACCCAAGGCCAGAGCCTGGGCTGCGGCCTGGAGATGAGCTGGACCCGGGGCCTGAGCCAAAGGCTGGGTGCGAGCAGGACCCAAGCCCTGGGCCTGGGTCTGAGGCTGTGGGCGAGCTGGACCCTGGGTCCGGGCCTGAAGCTGCTGGCGAGAAGGACCCAGGGTCTGCGCGTGGGGGTGGGACTGAGATCGGGGCTGGGGCAGGGAACGAGCCGGACCCAAGGCCAGAGCCTGAGTCCGGGGCTCCCCCTGGGCAGCCCGTCGCCGCCGAATGGCCAACACCATGGGGTGAAGGAGCATATTCTTGTCTATTCTCTGGCCAAACCCTCAGAAGTTGCACCCCACTCCTAAGGGCACTTCCCAGCCAGCCACAGCCTACTCAGGACTTCCCTCCCAACCTTTTATGCCTATGGGCACCCTGTTTCCAGGCTGTCTATCCCGGTTGTGCCTAGCCTGCCTACGTACCCCACTACGACACCATCTCTTCCCCTCTAGTCTCCAACTTCCCCCCCTCTAGTCTCTGCCTGCCCTGTACCCAACTCTCCACTCTGCAGGGTCCCCCTTACTGGCCTGCTTCACACTCGCGTCACGGGACACCTACCCCTTTTGAGCGCCCTTTTGTCCTGGCTGCGAAGCTGGACAGCACCTGCTGCAGGCTGCTCCGTCCGGCTGGCCTTGCTATTGGCACTGCAGCCGCTCTTTGTTTACCTGGGCTGGGGGCAGAGTCACCCTGGGGCACGGGTGGGTGAAGCGCACCTACGGGGAGGACTCTGGTAGCTCCCTGGTAGCTGGGCAGTGCAGGCTCCACTCAGTTCTGCAAAAAAAAACAGGGGAGGGGGTTGGAGGGGGGAGGAAAGGGTTGTAGTGCTGTCAGGCACCTGGGAGGGGCAGGATCAGGCCCAGGTTGATCTGGAAGGGAAGTGGGGACAGAATCAGGCAAGGTTAATCTGGGGGGAAGGGATCAGGCTGATCGGGGGTGGAAGGAATAGGATAAGATAGGATCAGACTGATCGGGAGGAAGGGGGGACAGGATAAGGTCCAGGTTGATCTGGGAGGGGGCGG